TTATCAAAAAGGTAGGAGAGCTCAATTTTCAATTCGAATTTGGAAGAAGAATTCGATCAGGGACAATATCATTTGTCGATGATAAAAAAAAATGTCGAAGTAAACATTGTTTGAAAATCGATTTTTTCGAAATATGCCGAAATTTATCACACAGATTTCAGACAAATGATAATTTGCAGAAAAATACGATATCGTATTTATAAAATTCTTATGTTCGAAATTCCGAGCATTAATCAATTTCGCAAAATTTTTAAATCGAATCAAATTCTATTATAACGAAAATTCTCGCCTTAATTTTTTGATTTGTGATATCAAATCTAGAGGACAAATTATAAAGATTTCTTCAAATTGATATTTTTTTCATTTTTTTCATTTAAGTAGATAAACTTTAGATTTCTGTATATGTTTTTTTCAAGAATTTTCATTGAATTCCAATCACGAATTAAATTCTTTCCACTACTTGGTTTTATTTAACTTGTCTGTCACAATAAATCAATTTATGTTTAATATATTTAAATATGTTTATTTTTGTTTTAGATTATTTTAACAATACTATATAATTTCCTGTAAAGGGTTGCTACCAAGAAAATTTTTCAAATTTTTATGGAATTAAATTTCTCTGAATATTTTATATTAAAAAAGGAAAATATAAAATTCAAGAATATATTGAAATAGAATATTTTTGTCATATCCTAATTTTATTAGTTTTCAAAAATTCATTTCGAAAAATTAAATCATATAATTTTTATTTTTATTTTTGGACTAAAAATTCTATGAGAAAAAATATCAGGATTTTTTTGTAATTAAAACTTCAATTAAAATTAAATGATTTTGGAGTCTGACGTAGTCGGATTTAGACTCTCTACGCCCTAAGCCCGATCACGGGGGACCCCAAAGCCAATTAAATTATGCTTTGAAAAATAAGATCGCGATGGTTAGAATTTACATAAAAAGATATAATATTAGAAATATTTGAAAAGAAAACAAAAATCCAAAAATATAATATTTTTTTTCAATTTATTAATATTCAATTAAAAAAAAATAATTTAGAATCTATTTTATAATTTTTTATTTTAAATAGACAATTTTTGGATTTCTTTATATATTTTTCTATTAAGAATTTATTTGAATTTCAATCAACAATCAAATCCTTTTCATAATTTTATTTAATTTGTGTTTCATAATAAATCAATTTATATTTAATATATATAAATATAAATATTTTTTAATGGTTTTAAATTTTATCTTGAAAATCCGATCCAAATATAAATAATAATATTTTTACTTTTTTTACGAAGAATTAAATTCATTTTTATATTAATCGATTTCAATTTCTTATTTTTACGATCAATTCTATTAATCGATGCTAATCGAATTACAAAAAAAATTATATAATTTATCGAAAAAAGGTCTATAATAAATTCGTGGCAGAATTCGTAATATTTTCGAAAGTCGAAAAAATCTTGATAAGACGAATAATCATATAAATATAATATTGATTTCTTTATAGGACCCAAGCCTAATACAAACAAACTCAAGCCTCAAATTTTCATTTTTGCAAAATCTCTTCATTATCAGGACTGAAGTGTCACGTCACTCTCTCCTTCTATCTCTGTCTTTTTTTATTACGTACTATCCAGGACACCATGAATGATGTGTAATCTCTGGTGCAGGCATTGCGGATTTACCATATCTACCTTGAAAGAAGGATCAATATTTTTTTTTCATCTGGGCTGTCCTCTTGAAGGAAGTCGTAGTGTGCGACATAAAATAAAGCAACGACAAGAAAACGTCGTTAGTGAAGCCTACGCTCAGAATCACCGGACCATCGCCAAAGCCACATCCCGGAACCTGGAAAGGGATTTCGGCATTGGTCACATGACACAACAAGGTTGACACGTGATGTCAAGTTCGCTCTCCGAAGCCCTGCAAGAAAGGAAACAACGAGAAACAGCGAGAAGCATCGCTCAGCTTGGTGCATCTGGATACGGCTCCCAGCCCTTGGGACAGCATGTTCAAATCATGGCCAAGCTGCATACGCAGAATTGCTTGCCAAGCTGAAGCACGTCAGAGACTTCTCTGAACAAGCAGAGCGAATGCATCCATGCATTGCTGTTTTATTGAGGTCTACATCCTCGACTTTCTGTGTCGCCGTACAGACTGCGCAAGTTCTAAGACTTGGGCACTTCGAGGCCATCCAGCTCCAATGCTTTCTCTGATGACCTTGGCTGCACATGCGCGAAAAGGACATCGCCAAGCTCTGAATGTTTGTTTGACATGCACCGCTCAGAAACGGCTGTTGCTGGCGAGGAGCTGTGAATCCAAGAAATCCAAGTAGCAGTGACCACGTGGCCTTCCCATAATTGGATCCATAACAACCTTGACACGATGAGATCGAACATCCACAGCTCGTGCCGTGGACATGGCAAAACACTTGCTGCAACGATGCGTGCAATGCTCTGAATCAACTTCACAATTGACAGGAAGAGCACCTCCATGTGAACTGGCCGGACTACAACCTTCTTGAGCAGCACTTGGATCTTGTTTTCGAGCGCCTGCTGTGGAGAGGAGGATGTTCGTGAAGCATGTTTGAACAAAAACATGAGAGGCCACATGGCACTAAACAGGTTGACAGTGCTCTAATCATGACTCTAATCTGAGTGAGCCCAATCGCAGACTGGTCGGCTCCTCCGCCGATATTCTTGTTGGCAACTTCTCCATCCTGCCAGAGTTCGTTTCGTTGAAAAAACGCGTGCGCAGGGGCCGAGGAAACTTGGGCCTGAGGCCTTGCAATTCTTCGACAATTGCATTCAAGCTCCATGTATGGCGGGACATAGCAGGCATGCCCTGGCAAGGTATCCTGACGCGGAAGACGGCGTCCTCCTTGTCGGTTGTGTCCTGAGGAAGCATGGATGAAGAAGGAAGATCGATCTTATGAACTGTCTCCGTGGCGCGCGCGTAGTTGGAGAAGACTGGAACACTTGCCAGGGCCATGGCAGTTGGGAAGAGTTGCGACCGGTCTTGGAAATCCAAGCTCTTCCGTGGCTGACCCGTCCTGTCAGCAGACACTGTCAATCCCGAATACAAAACTGTGCTAGTCATGAAAATGATAGCAGCGTTTGAGGGGATCTAGGTGTCTCCGCTGACAGCAACCCGACCAAATCCGAAAAAGGCGCACGATGCAAAAGGGGGCACCAGTCCAAGCGCCCAGCAATTGGTGGCATCTTGTCCAACAAAAACACCGATCCCGACAAATGTGTGCAAGAATTTAAACACGGGCAGTGTCGCTGTGGTGTGCAGGACTTTTGATAGCTATTTTTGGCTTCTCGCGGTTGGACTGGGCAAAGGACGAGCGTCCACCAGACTCAAGCACGACAAGATCAAGGATCACCCGGACGCCAAACGTGCCGGCAACATACATGCGTGGTTCAAGAAGTTCAAGCCCGCAGTATGGCGCGGCATGATGTGTTGCCGGGATACACTCACAGAATGCAGCTGGCCTGTCTTGCACCATCGCCTGAGAGTGCCGCCGTGAGGCTCTGGCTCTGAAGCAGAGGCTCCCGGGCTCCCGACTCGTTCAATCATCATCTGGATGTGCTGCGATGCAGCGTGATCCGCTGCCTGCGGCCAGGGGCCAGGGTCCCCCCAGTCCTACGTGCACTGCAGCCTACATCTGAGTTGGGGGCTGTGCGGCCGCCACGGTCCTGCTGCGCGAAAGAGATGGTGAACCGCAATGGTAACAAAGCGAGATGGCGACCCGCGCGGACAAAGACGCGGTCGAGGCTTCGAAACCACCAAAAGCCCCCTCATCAGCTCGAGAAATCCACCATCCTGAGGTCCAGCGACCAAAGACGAAACAAGTCCTTGTCAGCGACCTTTGTGCTCGGATCTCGGAGCATTCGCTCAACGGCCTCTCCCATTTCGGTGCTTTGAACAGTCGTGACACAAAAACCCTGAACTCCCGACACCGCATCCCACCTGTTGCATTTACAGAGTTTAGACCAAGACTGTGAATGATTGCGAATGTAAACTCGCAGATAGCTTGTCATCACAATATTTCCGAAGATGCTCAGACCTGTCACGAAATCGAGCCTCTGCGTAGCCGACTGCTGCGGCCTGGGCACGGAAACCACCGCTTTGTTGTGGCGATTCGGTCCAATTAGCAACAGAGAAAAAGAGAGAGATTGCGTTCATCACGGAAGGTCTTCTTATGCAGCGATAGAATCGGAATCCATCGCGGAAAGGCCCGAGGGAACTTGGCTCCCAAAGGGGCTGATGGCCTAGGGAACGTTGAAGGTATCAAGCCAACACGAGCTAATCCAGTAACCCATTATCTGGCTATGACTGATTCTTAACAGCACAAGGGCGCAGCCTGCATCAATGGAGTGCGACCATTCTTCTCCTTCGCATTGCAATTGGCCTGCAAGCAACTCGATGAAGACTGGCATGCTTGTTCTGGACTAACTGCTGTGTTTGCGTCGGCCCATGTAACAGAAGACTCTTGGAATGATAGCGCTTTCTGGTTGCCACAACATGCCAGACAACGTCGGGTTTGTGGAGTTTCCCAGACTTGCTGCACTGGGACCCTTTGCTCAGTTGCGTCGATGTCAAGCCTCGCAACTTCGTCAAAACACAGAACAGCAACCGCAACAGTATTGCTTTCCCTTTGCTTCCCTGGGTGGGTGTGGCAGCTTTGGTCTTTATCATGTGACTCAGGACTCTAGGTCTGCCAAACCTGGCCGGAAGCGCTGACGAAGCAAGGCCTTCAGCTCGACGAGTTTGCTGAGCACTCGGAAGTGGCCTTCCCATCGGATCTGGGGAATCAAGTTTCAAGCTTTGAAGAGCCAGGGGGATGTGTTGAAGCATCTGGATCCTGAGATACCCGAAACACTTTTTTGCAAAAGCCGACATGGTACGGGTGCAACCAACATGAATTCCCTCATGACACCTTTGCTATCCAAGCAGTTGCCGGGTCAGCCCAAACAGCGGCACCACACATGGCCAGCTGGTCATTCCGGGTCTCTTCCATGGGAGTCCGCAAATTTTGTTTGCAGGGAAGCATGCCCTAACGGTCGGATCACTCGACAGAAGAGCCTGCTGTTCGTCCTGCTGCCACGGCATAGTGCAGGACAGTCATGCCCTTGTCGCCCGTGTCCTTGGCGGATTGAGTTGCACAGAAGCTCACTGTAGTTAGGCGTGCAAGATGGAACGGAAATGCTGCGGCTCCCGCTAGAAGGACCTTGTTGCCTCCGCCATGTGCAGCTTTGGACCTCGCGTGCAAGCGAAGAGAGCTGCCGTTTGGGAAATGCATGTCATGGACCATGGATGCCTTTTCGGGGGATTTGTCTTCGGCGTCTTCCGAACAACTGAAGCCCATCGGGGGCTTTTTTTCCAATCGGTGCTTCTTCCCAAGGGGGCCGTTCCCAACAGGTCTCGGGCAGCTTCTTTTGGCGCCGTTCGGCGGCAAGGGTGAGTAGCCTGGCATCAGGATTCAATTCAGGAAGCACCGCTTGTATCAGTTGTGGCCCCACATTGGCCACTGCTATTGGCCCCCGAAGAACAGGATTAAAGTTTGTTGCACAGCCCGAAAGCCGTGCACTCTCCGGGCTTCGAATCCAAAGCTGGGCCAAAGGCGTCACACGTCAAAGCAACAAATGCATGTGGTATATAGTAGATAACGCAGAAGAACTAATACAGGATACATAAAGCGTGCCAGCGGAGCTCACGGCCGAAGGGTGCAACCTGAAGGTGATAAGCAGTGGAACCAGAGACCACGAAGTCAAAGCTGCATCGGACACTCCGTGCACGTGCCGGTATGCCCTGCAATCCGAGGGCCTTGCTCTTCTGCACGATTTATGTAGGTATCTTCTGGTCATGTTTCGCAAATCTTGCATTGCGTCGGCAGTGTAAATGGGAGGTACTGTGGATGCATGTGTGAGGATAGGGCATGCCATGTGCATCATAAGAAGTTGCCGTCGAAGGTTGTCTTCGGGACCTTGTTGCCTGACTTTTCCTGAGTCTGCGATCTGTTGAAGTGACACAGGGTTCTTGTTGAGTGTCTGTCTTGCGACACTAGATGTTCCTTTGTGTGGAGGACAAGTTTCCAGCTCGGCGTTTCAAGAAATCACGTCCTTGGGTTCTCGGGAAGCAAGATTATGAAGAGTGGTTGGTTCTGTGCTACGTGCATGCAGGGGCAAACCTCTGCGCTCCAGTCGCTGTGGGCATACACAGCTTTGACATCGTTAGAATGCTTTCCAGGCGCATCTGGTCACGAAGCCATGCTTGGATGTCTGGGCTGCGCTTGCCCACAATGGTCGGAATCCACAGTTGTAAACTTGAAGCTATGTGCTCGAAACCTTTCTCCAAACAGCACACGCCAAGACCGCAAGAACGATGTACGTATGCACACCGAAACGACCAGAGTTTGCCTTGCCTCTTCCTTGAATGCCGTCTCCTCCTGCAGTAACAAAACGGCAATTTGTCTTGGATGTCGGGGAAACAGGGAAACCACAGTGATGCCACCACTCATAATAGCTGAAGGATCAGAGCACCGATGGTAATCCTGAAAGGCCTCCGGGATGGACGACGACCAGCAACAACAGGACCACCATTGCTACTGCTACAACAAAGCATGTAATTCACCACCACCCTCAACCAGGAGTAGTAGCTGCCGTGGTGGTGGTGGTGGTGGTCGTGATAATCGTCGTCGTAGTGGTCGTGGCAGCAGCATCAACAGCGGTACTTAGAGCTGAAGTTGTAGTGGTCGACACTTCTAGCACGGTGATGACAGACATTGAAACCAGAAAGATAGCTCGCTGCCAACAATCTACACCGAGAAAATACCAGGGAATTGCGGGTTTTGGGACCATAGTCCGAGATGCGGCTGGGCAGGGCCCCATTCACAAAGAACTGCCTGAAAGTTGGCATTTGGGATGTTGGAAAATGCCCTCCCTTTCCTTGGTCGAGAAGGAGCCGTCGTTGGATGCCTGACATGTAGGCATTCGCAGCAGTGGACCCATTAAGGCTTCCGGCTCTCACACAGACAGGTTCGATTGTGAAAGCTACAAGCACCTGTCGTGAGATTCTTGCAGAGTACGAAAGGAATCCGGTCGCATGACTGATAGCTGATCACGTTGCGCTGGGGCAGCACCTCACAAAATCGAGGGCCTCATCCGTGGAGGATAATGCCCGCGTCCCAGTGGCAGATGCCTCCCACCGATGTGACTCGAAGTTTGAGTAGAGGACATGCTAGAAGTGCCGCGAAACATGTTGCGACCCTGGGCGCCTTGCGCAATCCAGCAAGTTATTGCAACTCCTTAGATACCCTCCTAGGCCAAGGCGGCTCCCGGACCGCTCTACCTCGACCGGTTGTTGTTAGGATTTGTTTCGATATGCTGTTTCGACAGACTATCGAAAAGACGGACGGCAAGTGAAACTGCACTCGGCTTGAAACGAAGGCCTCCCCGCGCGAAGGCCGTCGGAAGCCAAGGCTCATGCTGAGCCCCAGGGTGACGCTGCCGGTCTCGCACAGGACGCGGCGGTGAGAGGATTTGCGGGCATACCGAATTCTGAGTGAGGGAACACGCTTCTTGAAACGCCAACACAAAGCGGGTCCCGAAAGATCCACGTTTGTCCCCGCTTGCCAGCTCCCCTCGGAGGTCCCCAACTCATTGTCGTTGCACTGAAAGGTCCCGCCCCTTTACAGGCTCAAGACAGTATTTAGGAGCCGTAGATCTTCAACTCGGCAGCCTCAGCCCCCAAAAAGAAACCGCTGCCTACTCCCCGACTCTACTTCCCTAACACACACCAGCACGCAGCGCCTCCCTGGAATTCTTCCGAGATCCCGTGAGGCTCACCTGCGCGGCTACGACATATGATGACGACAGGCAAGTGGGCACGATGCCACGCCTTGGGGGGGTTTGTGACGGTTTGGAGTTCAGATGTGTCTGGGATTTTGTGCAGGGCCTAGGACAGCTTCGGACTGACGTGCAGAATTTCCACCCCCATCGTCAGCGCTTCGATGTCATGTCTTCTGTCTTCGGCCCAAGGCTTGAGCAAGTTTTGTCATGTGCCGCGGAAGAAACGACAGCTGCACAGCGCCA